GCTTGCTTTGCTTTTCTTGACTGGTCTTGTGACCCCCTGTTCTCCCCCACTTTGTCTATGGGGGTGTGTCAAACTATATATGTTGTAGTATAATCTGTAAGCTGTAGTGGGTTAGCCAACATGGGGTACAACCTCTTTAGGATTTCTATATGTACACAACAGTTTCATAGTTGACTCTTTCCTGCTAGCTCATTCCTGCTAGTTGACCAGCTAGGTGTGCTAAGGACCAGCTAGGTGTGCTACCGACCAGGGAGATGTTCGACGGACCAGCTAGGTGTGCTACAGACCAGCTAGGTTTGCAACCAGGGCTCTGGCTAGGACTAGCATAGTTACGCCTGACGTCTAACGAAAATCACAGATACTTGGATTTTGGCAACGTGTTTCTAACTACTGGCAGGGCTCGGAACGAGCATGATGTGGACGAGGGTATACTCGCAGTCTGAGTACTCAGACAAGTTACAAGCTCCTTGTCTTATTTTTCAGATGAAGAAAACTGCCTTATTTGGAAAATCATATGAGGAGAATTCAATGGTCTGAAAAAATATATGAACATATAAAATCGTGTCTGAAAATCAGACAATCAGAATAAATTTGTCTGATATCCAGAGCCCTGTTTGCAACGGACCAGGGAGATGTGCCACGGACCAGCTAGGTGTGTTACGGACCAGCTAGGTGTGCTACGGACCAGCCTGTGCTAGGAAGGGCTTTGTAACGTTCATGTTCATTTTTGGGGTTTGTAGAACTTCGCGTAGAAAAATAAACTTCACACATTTTGCAAACACTTACTTTGTCAAAGTCTTATGCCGCGTTCATCCCCGACCTCGTCTGCCTCACTATCGGTTTGTGGATTTAGGGGGGCCTGTGGATTGGGATGCTTTCGTTAGCTTCACGACCGTAATTTAGAGCTTTGAAACGTTACCTATAGGTTTCCGTACTGCTATCTCCTGTCATAAGCACAGCACGATCGTAGTACTAGCGAGCGATTTTATGTGTTATTACCTAAACGTTTTTTGTCCTTGGAATCATTGCCATGAGGCCATCAGTGGCAGCAGTCGACTGGGTGGAGGACGAGTGGTCCGCGGCGCCGTGCGAGTCGTCGCCGCCAGCCTCCTCTGCACCCGCCGCTTCACCACTTACCCTAACCGCTCCGCCCAAGCGTCTCAATTCGCTCGCCTCCTCGTTTCTTCCCGCCGCCATCTTCGCGCGTCCCTCGCCGCCGGCCGTCTCGCGGCTCCTCGCCGACGGGGCTGCGGCGGCTGGCGGCGACAGCGACGGCGAGGAGTGCGAGGGTGAGGGCGGGCCGTACGCGGCGTGGGAGGAGGACGGGGAGGGGGGGGACGACGAGGGTAACGACGGGCGTGCGGAGGCACGCGGGGCCGGGGAAGGCGGCGTGGGGTCGGCGCTGCTGGCGTGGGGTCGCAACCTCTTTCACCACCGTCCCCCCGCGTCGCTCTCGCCGCCCTCCACGCTTCTCCAGCCGCTCACTTCCGTCGAAGCGCGAGCCCCCTCCTTCCGCCACCATGCCGCCACCATTGGCAGCAGCGCTGGCAGCAGCGCGGACGGCGCCCGTTCTCTCGCCGGCAAGCTCTGGGGGGCGCTGGCTCCTCGCTCCACACACGTGCACCTGCTCAGTGACGTCAGCAGTGGTAGCGCCAACATCAGCAGCGCGCCTCCTCTCAGTTCGGGAGGGGCAGCGCGCGGAGCTCCGCGGAACGGCGCGCGCTGCTCGGGCATGGCGGGCGAGTCGTTCGAGTCTGCGCGTTCTGCTCGCGAGCGCGCTGCGGGCGCACCAAGGGAAGCCAGGGGTAGGGGCAACTGGTCGGCGGGAGGGGGGACTCTGAGCGCTGTGGGCGCGCAGGGCAGCAGGGAGGGGTTGGGAGGGATGGCGTGTGGTGGTGAGGGGTTGGGAGGGATGGCGTGTGGTGGTGAGGGTGGTGGGGATGGCGGACGCGCAGGGGCGGTGGGACGAGGCGGGGATGGGCGTGGGGCGCAGGGGGGCGGGGGGCAGGGGTGGGCGCACAAGGTGTTGGAGGTGCTGCCTGTGCTGGCCGTAGTGACGCTCATGGTCTTCGGTACCGTCGCCTACCTCACCGTTGTTGACGCCAGTGAGCCCCCTCCCTCCCTCCCTCCCTCCCTCACTGCTCCGCTCGCCTGCTTCCTCTCTGCCGCACTCCCTGCTCCATTCTTACCCCATCTGCCTGCTTCCTCTTTGCCACACTCCCTGCTCCATTCTTACCCCATCTGCCTGCTTCCTCTTTGCCACACTCCCTGCTCCATTCTTACCCCATTTGCCTGCTTCCTGTCTGTCGCACCCTCTGCTCTCTCCTCATCTGCTTCCTCTCTGCTTTCTTGCGTCCCACAATCGCTACAGCTTCGCTCTCTCACCCGTGTTTCCCTCCGTGTCCCTGCATCCGTCCCCCCGCCCCTCCCTCCTTGCACCAGTCCTGCCGCGCCTGCGCCCGGCCTTCTCCCTCGCGTGTCCGCTGCAGCAGGGCCACTGGGCGCTCTCCTTGCGCCGCCCGCTCTACCCGCCCTCCTGCCCCTTCCTCCGAGATGACTTCAACTGCGCCAAGTTCGGCCTGTCCGCGCGTGACACGTGGCGCTGGGAGCCGTCGCAGTGCCAGGTGGCGGAGTTTTCAGCGGGGACATGGCTGCGGAGCATGGCGGGGCGGCGAGTGGCGTATGTGGGCGACAAGGCCGTGGCCAACGCCTTTGACTCGCTGCTCTGCATGCTCGCCCAGGCCGACCCCCCCACGCCCCTCTCTCCCGCCTCGCCCCACCGTGGTCTCTCCGCGCTCACGGACCCTCCCGTGCCTGCCACGCACGCGAGGAAGGGGCTAGGAGGCAGCGGCGGGAGGAGCAGCTCGCAGGCTGGTAGCGGCGGCAGGCAGGGGGAGAGCGTGAGGGCGGCTGCTGATGGGCGCGTGTTCATTGGCGCTCTTGACGCCCCCGGTGCTGCCCCCGATGATCCCCCTGCCGTCCCGTATGCCCCCCCTGTCACCCCGGATGCCCTGCCTGCCGCCTCAGATGCCCCCCCTGCTGCCCTGCATGCAGACCTTGCTGCCACTCCAAGCGCAGCACTGCACGCGGGGACGAGGGGCAGAGGGGGCACAGGCAGTGATGTGAGGCGGGGCGGGGCGAGGCACAGCCATGGCGGGTGGGGCTGGAACCCCATCAGGTGGGGCGCGTGGGCGCGGCAGGGCAGCAGGCAACGCGTGGGAGCAGCTGATGATGCCGGCAGTACAGGCGATGCCACAGGAACCAGCGGCGCCACCAGCCACAGTGGCTCCTCGCCTGCTGCTGCAGCATCGGTGTCGTCTGGCCTGTTTGACATGCAGCCACTGCACTACTGGTTTCCCCGTTACAACTTCACTCTTGCACTGCTGCCCTCGCCCTTCCTTGTGAGGACGTCGCTGCACGCGCCAGTCAATGCCACTCTCTGCCAGCTGCAACGCGCTGCTGCCGCCACGCCACTCAACGCTTCCACACTCAACACCACAACCACCACTACCAGCAGCGCCACCAGCACCAGCGGGGCACCTGCAAGTGAGGCGGCAGAGCATGCAGCGGCCGGGCCACCAGCCGAGGCAAGCAGCGGCAAGGATGAAGGGCCGGCAGGTGGCGATGCGTGCTACCCGAACCGCATGTATGTGGATGAGCCCGACCCCGCATGGGCGCAGCAGGCAGCACAGTTTGACGTGCTGGTGCTGGCATCGGGGCGCAGCTGGACGGAGGAGGCCGTGGAGACCAACGGGCTCAGCATCGTGGCGGGCGGGGTGCGGCGCAGCGAGCTCAGTGTGGAGGGGCTGGTGGGGCAGTGGGCGTACCCCCTTGCCATGGCGGCCGTGGCGTCGTGGCTGGGCAACGCGTCGCACTTCAACGGCACTGCTGTGTTCCGGTCGTTCAGCCCCACGCACCCGCGCAAGGAGTGTGCCGCCCGCACCTTCCTCCCTGATGCTGTGAGACTCTTCCTTGTACCCCCTTGCTGCTTGCCCTCTTTCCTGCTCTGCTCTGCTGTTGCTTGGCACTGCTCTGCACTATCTGCTTTCTCTGCTCTATCTGCTTTCTCTGCTCTATCTGCTTTCTCTGCTCTATCTGCTTTCTCTGCTCTATCTGCTTTCTCTGCTCTATCTGCTTTCTCTGCTCTATCTGCTTTCTCTGCTCTATCTGCTTTCTCTGCTCTATCTGCTTTCTCTGCTCTATCTGCTTTCTCTGCTCTATCTGCTTTCTCTGCTCTATCTGCTTTCTCTGCTCTATCTGCTATTTTGCTCCTCAATCCCCCCCCCCCACCCCACTGCTTCCCCCCCACCTGCATGGCGGTGCACAGGAGCATGCAGCGGACGTGATGGAGGAGGCACTGCGCTACGATGATGCCGTGGCCCATGCCATCGCCATGGCTCAGGACAGCACCCACACCTCCACCGGCACCACCACTGCAGCAGCGGGTGCAGCACCAGGGGGGTGGGCAGCAGCGGGGCATGTGGGTCCGAGGCTGCACTGGATGAACGTGTCGCTGCTCACAGCACAGCGCGCCGATGCCCACCCGTGGATGGCATCGCCTGGGCGCCCCACAGCGGACTGCACCAGCTGGTGCCTGCCGGGCGTGCCCGACACATGGAACGAGCTGCTCGCTGCCACGCTGCTTAAACTCTTCGAGCGCCACTGACACTGACGGCAACGCTGCTTGGGATGCACTTGCGGTTGCAAGTGCCGCATGTGCTTGTACAGCAACCTGTAACGCATCTGTTGGTTTAGTTATGATTGTGCTTCACTGGTTTGTTGTTTGTTGTGAACTAGCTTAGGGTTGTTCCGCATGTCATAGAGCTACATTGGTTGTCATGTCACACTATGGAACTGCCTTGGCAGCCTTATTGCATCTCAATCTACATGCCACATGATCAAGGTTCATCAGCCTAGCACAAGACAGCACACAGAACGATTACTACCGTATGCTGCAGATACAATAGCTCTGGGCCCTTTGGGGCTCGGCTCGGGGTTTGTCAAGAGCGCAGGGCTTCAAGGGGCGGCTTGTCCATCCAGCGGAAGCGGCAGCCACTCTCCTCCAGGTCCGCCAGCAGCTGGGGCGAGAGCAAGGGCCGCCACGCCTGCAGCAGCTTCACCTTCTTCAGCCCCACACAGCGCGTGAGTGCGGCCTCAAGGCCCGGCATGGAGAGGTGCGAGCAGTGCACTAGGTTGAACTTGGTCATGCACGCCATGCCCGCCATCGCCCCCAGCCCCGCATCCGATATGCTCGTGTACGATAGATTCGCCTGAGGGGGGTGGGGAAGTGGGGAAGGAAAAGGGGAGAGATGAGGTGGGACTAGGGGCAGTGTGTTGAACGCATAAGGTGGGTTGCAGGAAAGGAGGAGAGGGGCGTTGGGGTGGGGAGAATGCACGAGTAGGATGGAGTGGGGGGAGCAGGAAGGACCTGTCGGAGGTCGGGGCAGCCTTGGGCGAGGGCAATGAAGCCAGCATCGTCCACGCCCGTGCACTGCTTCACATCCACCTCCTGCAGCTCCCTGCACCCCCACACCCGCCCCCCCGCCGCTCCCGCCCCCTGCTGCTCGCTGCCCTGCACGTCACTTGTTGCCGGAGGTGCCGGGGCGGGCGGCAGGAGGCCGGCGATGGCGAGGAGGCCGGCGCTGGTGAGGAGAGGCGTGTCGCGCACCTCGAGGTTGCGCAGGCGCGGGCAGTGGCGCGCTATGGCTATGAGCGCGGCGTCTCGCACGCGGTGGCAGTAGGAGAGGTTGAGCGTGCTCAGCCCCGTGCATGCCTGCGCCACCGCTGCTATGCCCGCACATGACACCCCCTCACAGCTGCCCAGAGAGAGGGGATTGGGGGGTAAGAGACATGGGGTTGCAGGGCATGTGTGGCTGCTAGTGTTGTGGGGTTGAAGGAAAGCATGTGAATGTGGCATGGCATGGCATATGGTGAGGTTACATGCATGGGCTGCCACAGAATGGCATGCAATGATAGAGCGTTATAGCATGTGGTGGATGGGTTGGAAGCACACCGGTAGAGGTCGAGCTCAGTGAGGGAGAGGCAGGAGGCAGCGAGGGAGATGAGGCCGGCATCGGTGATATCCATGTCGAAACCAAGCTTCAGTGACTGCAGCAACGGGCAGTGCCGCATGCCCTGCACGGCTGGTTAAAGCATGGGGGAGCACACAACAGGTGGAGCACAGTGAGTGGGGCGCAGTGAAAGAATCACTTAGAGTTTTGGAGCAACGAGCAGAGAACAACTGAGCATGCCCCCGCCTCCCACATGCCCCCAACGCCCCTTTGCCGCCCACACTGCCCTTCCCCCTCTTCCCCCAGCCATGGCACAGCATGGACCGGCAGGGCAGGGCACGCACTGGTGTCGGAGATGCCGCAGTCAGTGAGGTCGAGAGTGGAGAGCGCAGTGCAGTGCTGGAACAGCCCCACCAGCCCCGCGTCTGACACGCCCCGACACGCCTCCATGCGCACACACGCCAGCCGCCTGCCAGCAGGGACACGTGCATGCACACACATACATATGCAGACACACACCATGATCCCTTGCATTGCATATCCAGTGCACCGTTGTGCACTGCCCACCGGCCAGCGCTCCTACTCACATGTGGCCCACGTGGCTTGCAACAGCTGGCCGCAGATGAGCCAGTCAATGGGAACGGTGGATGCATGCATGGCGGGCAAGCAGAGAGAGCGGACCTGCAGTGGGCGGAGAGGGCGAGCAGGGAGGCGTCAGTGACAGAGGAGCAGCAGGTGATGTCGAGGGAGAGCAGGTTGGGGCACGCTGCCGCCAGTGCTGTGAGGCCCTCGTCCCCCACCGCCTCACACCGCCTCACTGATACCTCCTCCAGCTGCCAGCACCCCAACGCCGCCCACCTCACCACCCCCACCTGCGCTGCTGCCTGCCCTGCAGCGCTCAGCCCATCCGCTGCTCCTACCGCCATGGCATGGCCGTGGTCTGCTGCGGCTGAGTCGTTCGCTCCCTCTGCTGCTGCATGCGCCCCGCCTGCTGCTGCTCTCTGCTCGTTCGCTAACACCCCCTCCTCTACTGCCGCTGCAGCTGCTCCTCCTCCTGTTTCTGGCATGCTAGTTTCGGCAGGAGGGGCAGCAGCGGCAGCGGGAGCGGGAGCGGGGGCAGGAGGAGAGGAGGCACCAGCGAGGTCAGAGAGGCCGGCGTCAGTGATGGGGGCGAGGTCCAGCTTGAGACGACGCAGCGCGGGGAAGCGCGGCAACACCGCCAACAGGTTGTCACTCACCTGCCGGTCGCAGGGGAGTGGCATGGGGGCGAGGGGATGGGGGGGAGTGCAGATGAGCAGCACATGGCAGTGAGCACTGAATGCATGTGCTGATGAGTATCCACGCTCGAACCCTCTGCCAGCATGCCCATATGCAGCATGCATAACGTGCAAATTCACTGGAGCCTTGCCTTTACGAACCTTGTTTTTACTGCGCTATTTGTTGACCAGTCTTCTGAAACCTTGCTATCGCGAGCACTTGCCTGGGGGCAGAAGGCGGTGGTGAGGGCGGTGAGCGGGATGGCACCCGCTGTGAGCGCCATCAGGCCAACGTCCGTCACCTGCTCGCACCCAGATACGTCCAAACTCTGCCGCCCAGGGAAAGAAAAAAGGGGAGGCGATTGTGAGACGGGTGAGAAGGGAGGCGGATTGGGATGGAACATTCATGTAAGTGCATCTACGCGCGACTAGGTGCATCTACGTGAGGTATCACCTGCCTGCCTACATGCCCTGTATGTCACCTGCAGTGCGGTGCATCCGTGGCGGAGAGTGGCGATGGCGGGGTCGGTGAGCGACTGGCAGCTGGAGAGGTTGAGATGCGTCAAGCTGGGGTGCCGCTGCACCACCCTCATTGCCGCCTCCGTCACCTGCCCGCCAGTGGAGGGGGTGGTGAGTGTGGGGAGGGGAGACGATATTGGAGAGAACTGCAGAGAGAAAGGAAGAGAACGAAGAAGTGGGCACAAGGGCAGTGATGGAATGTCGGAGGCAGGGAGAGAGGGTGGTGGGGATTGGGAAAGAGCGTGGCTTGCCTTGGTGTAGGAGAGGTCGAGAGTGTGGATGGCGTGGCAGTTGGAGAGCAGCACGTCCACGCCACGGTCAGTGATGCCCACACACCACCGCAGCGACACCTCCTGCACCGCCTTGCACCCCGCTGCAATGCAGCACACCCCCATGTCCGTTATGCTGCGACAGTTGCCCAACCCCAACACCTGCCGTTCTCCATGCCGTCATGCCGTCATGCCGTCATGCCGTCATGCCACATTCCAAGCATGGCGTTACGCAATGCCATACAACAGGGGCGGGGGAGAGCGGAGGAGTGGTGAGAGGCGCTCTAGGCATGCATGCATCACTGCTCTGGGCGAAGAGGAGGAAGGGGAGAGGAGGAGAGGAGGGGAGGAGGTAAGGGGAGGAGCGGAAGAGGAGGGTCAGGAGGGGCGGGAGAGCGTACCTTGAGTTGGTGGCAGGAGGCGATGGGCATGAGAGCAGCGTCGTCGAAGGTGCCGTTGGTGAGCCACAGGGCCTGCAGCTGCGTGCAGTGCGCGCCGATGGCCTCCAACGCCGCCTGCCCGATCCGCTTGTTGCTCGCCAGGTTCAGCCGCTGCAGGCTCGGCCCGAACCTCTTTGCGATGGCCACCACGTGCTCGTCGCGAACCTGCAGGCACGGCGCGTTAGAGTCGGAAAACTCTGCTCGGAGACCGAGGATAAAAGGCGCGTGGAAAGCGAAGGGCTTGAGGCAAGGAGCGGATTAAGAATCAGAGCAACAGGCGTCGTGTAGTGGCGCAGGCGTAGTGGCGGCGAACGAACGCGCGATGCGCTAGTGGTGCAGGGGGCCGTGAAGGGCGCGCCGCGCATGCGACTGCGATCGATCAACAGGGACTCGGTGGCGAGTGGCTCTACGGGTAACGACACGTGTCGTACTCGGATGCACTTGGAGCAGTTGAGATCCTGAATCAACGGACAGCACGCGAGGATGGCTTTTAGCGCGCCGACGTTCAGGATGGTGCAGTGCGTGTACGCGCCGCGAACTACGGCGAGCCATCGCTTGCACACGAGCGCCGCCGCCAGCTTGTCGGAGCGGCAGTCGAGGCGGCGCAGCACGCTGAACAGCAGATCGTCCTCCAATGCGCTCAGCTCGCCGCCTCGCCCTGCCGGCGCGCGCCGGCCGCCATCCATCGCGCGCTGCTGCGGACAGCGAAGGGCGGCGGCGAAGATGCAGACGGACTGCGAGGTTCTTCCGGAGCCCGCAGATGCACGTGCGTTGAGGTCTGACTGTCAGTTGTGGCGGGCGGGTAAATGCCGAGGAAGGCACATGTACCTGACCGCCAGATGAATCCAACCTGCCTGGAATCTCCCTCCCTGCGAAGCTCGGCGTTTGGACCTGATATTACCAGACCATACCGAAATTGTGTAGAAATAAACCACGCTGCATCCATCCATGCAGAAAAGGGAAACTTGCAGATGACTAAGGGTGGGCTGGTATACTTGATATATATATATATATCTAGTTAATGCTTCAAATGAGTTTCTCTTTAGGAGCTTCAAATCACCACACCGTGTTCGCAACATCTTCGCCGTCGTGAATTCGGTAAAACGGAGTGGTTCACATCGCGAGGGGCGCATTCAATCACGACGGGCACTCCTTCCTATCACGAGCCTTCGTCTGCACGGCCAATTCTGCCCGATCTCACTTGCCTCGTCGGCCTCGCGGCGCGATTACTTGAAAGCTCGCGAGTCGTCAATTTCATCCTGCTGATGGGCATCTCTTGGCGCTAGCGCGCACGCGGCGCAACGAATTCACGCAACGAGCGCCGACCGCAGGATCGGCGATGGAGGGGGGGATGGCGGAGGCCACGGGTGGCGGCGACTGGCGGGCGCTGTTGGAGGCGGCGTGCGCGGATGATAGGCGCGGCGGGGAGCAGGAGGCGGCGCGGAGGCAACTGCAGGCCCTGGTGCGCGGCGGCCACGTGGCGCTGAGCGACGTGCTGGGCGGCATGGGACCGCACCTCACCACCGCCGACGGCGCGCTTCGAGCCAGAGGTGCGCTCCGAGCCAGAGGTGCGCTCCGAGCCAGAGGTGCGCTCCGAGCCAGAGGTGCGCGGCCCCGTGTCGCGCACCCCACCCGCACGCACTCGCCTTCCATCCACGCACACCCTCTTCCTCCCGCTCTTCCCGCCCGCCCTCCTCCCTGCCCCACACACCACCCTCCATGATCCCCCTGCTTCTCTTCCGCATCCGCCTCACCCCCCTCTCCCCCCAGGCACGGCGCTGCTAGCGGCGCTGGTGGAGGCCATGCTCAATGCTCGCCGTGCCGCTGCCACCGCGGCACCGCCCACAATCGCCCCTCCCTGCGCCCCGCCCCCCCTTCCCCTCCCCCCCCCAGGCACGGCGCTGCTAGCGGCGCTGGTGGAGGCCATGCTCGCAGTGCCGCTGCCACCGCCCACACTCGCCACTCTCGCGCGCTACTTCGCTCTCCGCATGGTGCGCCCCATCCCGCCCCGTCCCCACTGCCAGGCGCCACACCCTTCCCAACAGCAACTGCTGCGCCCATTGCCTTGTGTTGTCGCCACGTGCAGAGCTCGCTTGCACTCCTCTCGTTCTCCTGCTCATCTGTCGCCCACCCCCCACTTGCTCATCTGTCGCCCACCCCCCACTTGCTCATCTGTCGCCCACCCCCCACTTTCTCATCTGTCGCCCACCCCCCACTTGCTCATCTGTCGCCCACCCCCCACTTGCTCATCTGTCGCCCACCCCCCACTTGCTCATCTGTCGCCCACCCCCCACTTGCTCATCTGTCGCCCACCCCCCACTTGCTCATCTGTCGCCCACCCCCCACTTGCTCATCTGTCGCCCACCCCCCACTTGCTCATCTGTCGCCCACCCCCCACTTGCTCATCTGTCGCCCACCCCCCACTTGCTCATCTGTCGCCCACCCCCCACTTGCTCATCTGTCGCCCACCCCCCACTTGCTCATCTGTCCCCCACCCCCCACTTGCTCATCTGTCGCCCACCCCCCACTTGCTCATCTGTCGCCCACCCCCCACTTGCTCATCTGTCGCCCACCCCCCACTTGCTCATCTGTCGCCCACCCCCCACTTGCTCATCTGTCGCCCACCCCCCACTTGCTCATCTGTCGCCCACCCCCCACTTGCTCATCTGTCGCCCACCCCCCACTTGCTCATCTGTCGCCCACCCCCCACTTGCTCATCTGTCGCCCACCCCCCACTTGCTCATCTGTCCCCCACCCCCCACTTGCTCATCTGTCCCCCACCCCCCACTTGCTCATCTGTCGCCCACCCCCCACTTGCTCATCTGTCGCCCACCCCCCACTTGCTCATCTGTCGCCCACCCCCCACTTGCTCATCTGTCGCCCACCCCCCACTTGCGCATTCCTCCCCTCCTCTTTCTCCCGTCCATCTCATCTTTATTCGCCCCCTCCCTCCCGGCCCCCCTCTGCCCCACCTGCTCACCCGCCAGGCGGACTGGCCGTGTGTGAGGGGGGCGCTGGCGGGGGCGCTGGCGCTTCTGCAGAGGGGGGAGGGGGTGGGCGCAGTGGCGGGGGGGGACGCGGGGAGCATGGCAGCAGCGGTGGTGGAGGTGCACGTGCAGGCGCTGCCCCAGGCTGACCGGATGGTGAGGGGTGGGGGATGGGGGGTGGGGTGGGGAGTAAGGGAAGGCAGGTGGATGGTGGCCGGGGACTTGACTGGTGGGAGGGAAGGTGGGATGCATGGGGAGGGGATGCATGGGGAGGGGATGCATGCTGGCATGTGTGCGAGGGGAGGGCAGTGTGTAGTCTGTCTGAGCTTGGAAGCCCCAACTTCTCTCCCACCCACCCACCCGTTCGCCCATCTCTGCCTTTGAACCCATCATTTGCCCCTCCTCCATCCCGCCACCCACCCGTCCATCTCTGCCTACCCTTCCCCTTTCCCCCGCCCACCCCAACCCCCCAGCTCGCCCTGCAAGTGCTGCGCGCCCTCCTGGAGCGCCACCTGGCAGCGGCCCCCTCCCAAGCACAGAAGGGCGTGGGAAAGCGAGCGGAGAAGGGGGGGGTGCAGTGGGCGGGGCTAGCGGGGGGAGTGGTGGCGGTGGTGGATGGGGAGAAGGACCCGCGCTGCCTGCTGCAGGCGCTGCGCATCGTGGCACTGCTGATGGGAGCTCTGCACCGGGAGGGCGGTAGCGCTGCTGTGGGCGCCGTGGCGGAGGACCTCTTTGATGTCGTCTCTGCTTACTTCCCCGTCTCCTTCTCCCCTGTAAGGCTTGTCTCCTTGCTATCCGCACACACACGGCGTCTGATCTGATCCTGTGTTCTTGCTCTGCACGTCAGATGTTTTAGAACGCCCCGCACTCACCCTCGCCATCATGCCATCAAGCCGTTGTGCCTCTCCCCTTCGCTCCTCCCCCTTGCAGCCGCCCAATGACCCGCGGGGAATCACACGAGAGGACCTTGTTCAGGCGCTGCTGGTGAGTCCTTGCTGCACCCTTCAACCCTTCAGCCCTTGCTGTTCCAACACCTCTCTCACCTCCCTCTCACCACCCACCATTCTTCGCCTGTCTCTATTCTGCCCTGCGTGCATTCCAGTCCATGCGCTCCTGCACCTCTCCCTCCCTCCCACATGTCGCACCACATGCTACCCGCTCTGCCCGCGTGCCCCTCGTGCAGGGCGCCTTCCAGAGCACGCCGCTATTCGCCCCCATGGCCATCCCGCTGCTCCTCGACAAGCTCTCCTCCTCATTCACCACTGCCAAGGTCCGCCTCTTGCCTCACCTGCTCTTGCCTCTCGCTTTCAATTTCACCTTTTCATTGGCCTGCCATATGTTTTTTGAGTCCCAGATGCAAATGTCCCGTATCTATACTCCTCCCTTCCTACCTCCCTCCCTTCCTCCTCCCTCCCTCCCGTCCTTCCTACCAAGGGTGATTGACACTTGTCTTTCTGGCACCTTCCCCATTCTTCTGCTGTCCCTCGCCCCTCTCACCCCGTCAGCTGGACTCCCTGCGTTTCCTCACTGCCTGTGCCACCGCCTGGGGACCCCATGCCATCGCCCCCCACGCACCCGCCATCTGGCACGCCCTCATACCCCTCCTCCCCGCACTGCACGCCCCACCATCGCTCAGCACCTCTCCCACGCCCTCGCCCTCCGCACCGTCGGGCAGTGACCCAGAGATGTCAGCAGCGGCGGTGCAGTGTGTGGTGGCGTGCGTGAGAGCCACTCTGCCCCGCTGCAGCAGCAGCAGTGAGGGGGGAAGCGCCATCGGGGGTGAGCCTGCACACCCCTCCGTGCTGGCCGTGATGTTAGAGGATGAGCGCGTGCTGCACGTGGGGGGGCTGCTCGCACAGGGCGGGCGGGAGAAGGGGGAGGGATGGGGAGAGGCAAGGGAAGAAGGGATGGCAGGGGTGGCAGGGATGGCAGGGAGAGTGAGGGCAGCAGGTGAGCTGCTGGCCTCTGTGGCCCACGTGTCCCCCTCTGCCTCCTCTGCCGTCTCTGCTGCCCTCCTTCCGCCCCTCCTGCGCCTGCTGCTGCCCCCTTCCGCCCACGGGCAGGGGGAGGGAGGCTCGAATGCTGGAAGAGGGGAGAAGGAGGGTGGGGAGGGGGGGGAGAGTGAGATGTGCAGAGCAGTGCAGAGGGAACTGATGCAGCCACGTGGCATGATGGCATTGGATGTGCTTGTGAGCCTTATCCGAGCTGCAAGGGACGTGGCACAAGAGGAGTGGGAGCAAGAAGCGGGCGATGGGAAGCGCGGGACAGAAGGAGGCAATGAGGGGGAGAGAGGGAAAGGAGGGGAGGCGAGGAGAGGGGGGGAGAGGGCAGATGTGACGGTGGTGGCGGAGAGGGAGCGCCTTCTGCTGCTCTTCCGCTCCGCTCTCGCCCTTGCAGTGGCCGGGGACAGCCATGGTGCAGAGGAGGGGCAGGGGAGCAGCAGTGGGGCGAGAGAGCAGCGCAGGACGGCCCGGTGTGAGGAAGCAGCAGCACTTGGAGGTGCGTGGGCTGCTTGCCTCGTGTGTGTTCTGCACTGCATTAAAACCCGCTGCTCCGCTTCAGCTCCTCTCTGTCACTTCCTCCTTCCCTCCACCCACCGTTTCACACTCTCCTGAGTCTCCTCTCACTTCACGTCGCATTTCTCTTTCTCTTCCTCGATAACATCCTCTGTGTCCCCTCCTCTCTTTCCCCTCCTGTTCCTCCCCTCTTCCCATCCCCCGCCAGTGGCTGGGTTGGAGTGCCTGGTGTCTTTCCCGCCGTCCTTCTCCCCTCTCTCCCCCGCCCTCCTCTCTCGTGCTGCTGCTCTCATCACTCATTCGCTCGTCCACCTGCCGCTCCCCCCTGCCCACCATGCCACTACCACCACCGCCGCCGTCACTGCCACCACCACCCACTCTTCCACTGCCCACACCACGGCACCGCAGCACCCTAGTAAGACCAGCAGCACCGCCCGTGCCTCCCTCCTCGCCACTCCAATAGCCCCCGCCAGCTCTCCCTCATCGCACCCACAGCCATTCTCCCCGCCCCTCCCGCCCCCCACGCCTCCACTCGCCCGCTGCCTGGTGCGCGCCCTCTCCTGCCTTGCCCACGCCGAGGCCAGGTGGGGGAGCGCAGAGAGGGGCGAGGGGGGCGAGGGGGACGAGGAGGAAGACGGAGGGAGAGCAGGAGGAGAGGGCAGTGGTGGTGGAAGCGGTGAGGGTGATGGGAGTGGGGACGAGGAGGACAGTGTGAGTGTGAGGGAGGTGGTGCTGCCGCTGCTGGCAGTAGTGGGGGAGGAGGTGATGGGGGGGCGCTCTGTGGGGGCGGAGGATACAAGTGGCGGGGAAGCGGAGGAGGCAGGGGCGGAAAGGGAGAGCACGGAGGGGGGGGACGCAGGGCGGGTGATGGTGTGTGGGGAGGCGCTAGCAGCGGTGGTGGGGGAGGTGGCAGCAGCACGGCACGTGGTGTTGCCTGCCCTCTCTGGCCTCGCCCTCCGCGCCTGCTCCGCCCACCCCATCGTACAGCTCTCTGCCCTACTCCTGCCGGCCCTTGCTAAACCATCACGCGTGTGATGCATGTGCTGGTTCGCTGTTGGGAGTTCTGAGAAACAATTTCGGCTTGCTGATGATCATGTGTGGATCCGTTTTCCCGCCTTTACTCTCCTCATCGATTGCGTTTTCCAGCTCGTACCTTTACATCCATGTACCCCATCCATGTACCCCATCCATGTACCCCATCCATGTACCCCATCCATGTACCCCATCCATGTACCCCATCCATGTACCCCATCCATGTACCCCATCCATGTACCCCATCCATGTACCCCATCCACGTCTTTTTGCTGTCACTGCCCTCCACCTCCCTCCTCGTGTCCACCTCCCTCCTCGTGTCCACCTCCCTCCTCGTGTCCACCTCCCTCCTCGTGTCCACCTCCCTCCTCGTGTCCACCTCCCTCCTCGTGTCCACCTCCCTCCTCGTGTCCACCTCCCTCCTCGTGTCCACCTCCCTGCAGCCAGGGTGTCAGCACGAGCCAATCAAGGCACTGCTTCAGATCCTCGCCACTCGCATCCTTCCCTTGTAAGCCCTCCCTCGTTGCTTTCACACGTCAGCCTCGTCATTCCCTGCTGCCGTTTCACACACCTGTACTGCTCCAATCTGCTTCCACAGCTAGGTCCACTGTATCGCTGCTGCGTGTGTGCCGCCAGTGCAAGTGCGCGACGTGCTCACTCCTCTTTCACACCCCGTGCCACCACCAGGTGTGACGGTACCCGCCCCTCCGATTCCGCCTTTCTCTGCAACCATGCCACGGCTCTCTTCCGTGCTTTCTCTTCCACGTTCACCTTCACCCACAGCCCCTCCACCCCCGCCCCCGACATTTCCCCCTCCACCGCACCCGCTCTGCCAACCCCCACTGATGCGGCCCTGCTGGCAGCAGCATGTGCCGCACTCACTGTTGCCGCCCACCGCTGCTCCCATTCTGACCAACTCGCCCTCCTCTCCTCCCTCGCCCCTCGCTTGCGCCTCCTCTCCTCTTCCTCTTCCTCCTCCGCCCTTCCCATGCGCACTGAGGAGCCTCTGAATCGCCTCACATCCGCACTGCTGGTGGCCCTGCGCCCACCGTTGCTCACTGCAGACGCCACTCACACCACTCTCACAACTCACACCGCGCTCTCAGCAGCTCAGGAGAAAGAGGGCCCATCACAGGGCGAGCACACGGAGGGGAAGGAAGGCGTCACTGGTGCAGCAAGCGTAGACCACATGGCTCTGCTGCAACGCCTCTTGCACCACCTCTCCCTCATTGCCACGTCACCGCCTGCCCTTGTGTCTGCTGACTCAGCAGATGCTGCCAGCATGGCAGTGGCGTCGCTTATCAATAAGTGGCCCAAGGAGGGGAGGAAGGTTCCAGGAAGCAGCACAGTGTGGTCGGTGGATGAGGCACTGCAGATGGTGCTGGGGGAGGTGCTGGGGGTGGAAGGGGTGGGGGATGGGGAGGCGGAGGAAAAAGGAGAAGTGAGGGCAGGAGGGTGGGCGGGGCAGGAGGGAGTGAGGCGGGTGCGGTTGCTGGCATGGGTGGGGTGGGCGGTGGCGGCGAGAGGTCATGCGAGCATGGCACGGGTGGCTCATGCGCTGCTGCAGGCTGCCATGGGGCAGAAGGGTGCGGTGGAGGGCGAGGAGAGGCTGGAGGGGGGTGCACGGGAGAACGGAGAGGAGGGTGGGGGAAACATGGGAGGTGCAGAGGGGGGGAGCGAGGCAGCAGGGAGTGCAGTGGGGGTGGCAGCAGCGGAGGGGTTTGGAGTGGTGATGGGGCAGGGCGCGCAGTGGCTGACCTCCCACTGCCACTGCGCGTGCCGCCCGCTCTACCAGCAGCGCTTCCTCTCCGCCTTCCTCCCCGCCCTCGCCTCCTCCCTCCCCCACATGCCACCTTCCCCAACCTCCCATGCCCACAGGTGCACTTCCCTGCTTGCTGCTCGCTGCTCTGTCGCCGTCCTGTTCGCCCATCACTGCTGCCATCTGCACTCGCATCGCCCGTCGCCTTCACGACCCTTAATCTCCTCCCTTTGCAATCGTTTATCCTTTTCCTCTCTCCCCACCCCTCCTCCCCCTCAGAGCCCAGTGTCTGAGAGCATTCGCTCACACAGTGGCCAACGCCCCGCCCGCTGCGCTGCTCCTCTCCGCCCCGCAGGTCTGCTCATGCCTGTAACCCCTTCACATGTCCGAATCGCATACTGCTCCCCTGCCCTACCTGTTCATGCCCGCAGCACATACCCCACTGCCCGCTCCTCACTACCTTGCTGCCCCTCCCTGTCAAACCCTCCTCTCTCTCCGCCCCTGCGCCTATCAGGTGCTGCCGCTGCTGCTCTCGGCACTCGCGTCCCTCGCACCCCACCGCATCGACTCAGATCGCCTGCACTCACTGCTGCTGCTGCTCGCCTCCTTCGCCACCTCGCAGGGCACCGGTGCGTGCAGTTCTTGGGGCTGTGCCTGTACTTGGGGGCAGCAGGCCGGTGCTGCATGGCACATGGCACATGGCACATGGCACATGGCAGGAATCTGCATGCATCCCACTGGAGCGTACTGGGTTAGGTGGACATGATACAGTGAGAGTGGATGTCGTGCTATGAAAGATTATCTCTTCCGCCTTTGAGTAGCTCTCTTCATTTTGTGGCCCCTTTTCCACAGTCCTACTCACATTGCTCTCGCTCTCATCCCCCATCCCCCATCCACCATCCGCCCTTCCTCATCCATCTTCCCTCATCCCTCATCCTTCATCCACCACCCCATCAGCACGGGACCTGTGTGGGCAGCACCTCACCACCATCGTCACCACCCTCCTCGCCCTCGCCTCCTATCCCCACTCCATGGTGTGTTGCCCACTCCACGCTCCGTTACCCTGCCCATGTAATCTTGTCCCATGGTTGTGTGCCGTATAGACGCATTCCCATGTAAAGCATGCTGCTGCACCTCACCGTGCCTTGGAACCCTGCTGCGCAAGTCCCCTCTATCCACTTCTCCTCATTTCACTCCCTGCCTCCTCACGCCACTCATGCCAGCCTGCAATCTGCCCTTCCATTCAATTCTTTATGCTCCCCTTTCCACCAACTCACTTCCCCAATTGCCCGCCATTCGCCAGGAGGTTCGGGAGACGGCAGTGCAGAGCCTTACAGCGCTGGCAGCGCTACCACACACACAAGTGTTTCCGCATCGTGCCAAGGTAAGTGCGTGGGAGGGGGGATGTGAAGTGGGCTTGCTGTGGGAGGGAGTAGACGCTCAGCAACAGTAAGAGCTCCATACAGCGTTGAGGATTTTTTAGGGTTAAGAGCATACCTGAGATATGAGATGTGAAGGGTAGGAATGGGGGGTGCCGCAACGTGGTTGGTCTCATCATTACCTTCTGCCATGCTCCCTACCCCAACGGCCCATCCAGGTGCTGAGAGCAATGGACGGGTGTCTGGATGATCCCAAGCGGGCTGTGCGCCATGCCGCTGTAATGTGCAAAACCACTTGGTGCGTTGCACTGCGTGACTTGCTGCTTGATAATGTTCCCGGTATTTGTGGTCCCTCTGATGTGCTGTGCAGTGTTGTTCCTCTGTTTCTTCATTTCAACTTTCCTGTTTGTTTGTGTGTTACGTGTCTTCTTCTATTGTGCAGGTCGGGATTGAGATGATGGTCAATGTATGGGTATATTGTTTGCAATCGCCCCCACCCACATTGGTATTTTGAGCAAAACCAAACAGGGGCTTTAGTAATTTAGATTAGGCTTTTATCTTTTGTGAAGCGTTCCAATATAGCACTACCATCTCTTTAGCTCTAACGGCTCGTCGAGTTTTCAGTAGGGCGTACGTCAGAGGAAACCCCAGCCGTTCATTCCTTTCTCGAGCATTCGCTTTCTTCCCGAATCGTCGTACCCCGAGCAGACCACGCCCTCCGCAGCCTCCCTCCACCTTCGTCGCTGTTCTCGTCACCTCGCCGAAGCGCGTTGCGCCATTCGCATTCCGCCGCGATCGGGTCGGTGTCGCTAGCGCCATGACGGAGGGCCTTCCGCCGCCGCAGAACGCGGTGGATCCGACAGCGGAGCTGGCGGCGGGGGCGGCGGCGCTGGAGGCGGAGCTGCTGGACGTGCTAGACGACAAGGGCCACCCCACGGGCGAGGCGCTTCCGCGGTGAGCCTCGCGCACCGCGCGCCCGCCCGCCGCCTCTTGCTTGCCTGTCCTTCATGCGATCAACGTCCCCATTCCTTCCCGTCCCGTGTCGCGGCGCTGCTAGCGCATCCTTCTCCCACCCCCACCACACTTCGCCGAACCGGCGCGCCTCCCACCCTCTCCGCGTTCCCCCACTTCCCCCGTTTCCCCCTCGTCCCTGCAGCGGCGAGGTGCACAGGCGCGGGCTGTGGCACCGCGCGGTGCACACGTGGGTGTTCGCGGAGAACAGCGCGCAGCTGCTGCTGCAGCGGCGCGCGGCGCACAAGGAGTCGTGGGGCGACATGTGGGACGTCTCCAGCGCCGGCCACGTCACCACCGGCTGCTCCTCCCTCCTCACCGCCCAGTGCGCGCCACCCCCCATGCCCGCACCCCATTGCACGCCTGGTTTCCATGCCCCGCTGCGTCCTCGCCTGTGGTCGGCTTGCTGCCCTGCCTCCCAACGCTCACCCCGCTCGCTCCCATCCCCCTCCCCCACCCCTGTGGCTTCGTGGCAGGCGGGAGATGGAGGAGGAGCTGGGGCTGTCACTGCCGGAGACCGCCTTCCAGTGGCTCTTCCAAGACACCTTCCAATCGTCCGTGCCACACCGCCCAACCCGCCCCTCGTTCTCCCTCTCTGCTTCTTGCGTTTCGCCCCACACTGCTGTGCTGTGCTGCGTGCTGCTCCTTCCTGCTTGCTGCTTACCTATGCTTGCCACTCCACTGTGCATCATCAGCCTGCTCCGCTCCAGTCTGCTACCCCAGCAACTCCTTGCACCTCATTCCGCCTCATCCCACCCAAGTGCACCTGTCCTCCTCTGCGCGTGTGCCCTGCAGGGTGCTAAAGGGAGGCACGTACATAAACAACGAGTTCAGTGACGTCTACCTCATCACCGTACCAGAGCCGCTCCCCCTCTCCGCCTTCACACTGCAAGTACGTGCTCTCCACAAGGAGCATGCAACCTCACAGCCCACCTGCCCCTTCTCTGTACCTCAACTGACCCTTCTCTCCACCTTACCTGCCCCTTTCCTCCACCTAGCGTGTCATCTACTGCACCCCCTGTTGTGCCGACCCTCTCTCACATGCCTGCATGCTGTCCATGCCATCATGCCTGCACCACACACTCTCGCACGCAACCCCCTCTTCTCTGTTCAACCCACTCATACCCGCAATATCCGTACCGTACCCCCCGCCACCAGGAGTCGGAGGTAGCGGAGGTGAAGTGGGTGCCATGGAGGGACTACGAGGCCTCTCTGCGCGCCAAGGACCCTCGCTACGTGCCCTTTGACGTCGAGTCGCCCAATGGCTACCGGCAACTCTTCACACACCTTGAGAAGCTATCTGCCCCCTCTTAGGCTCGTCGGCGGAATCACTTTAGCTGGGGTCTCCATCATATGCTGTGTGATGGGTCAAATATGAGCAGGCCTTAGCCTTTTTATCCCAATATTTAAGTGTTGCATTGTATAGTAGTGTTATAATAAGATGGCAAAGCCCGTGTTCACTCCATTTATTCTATCTTTTCCCAGCCATGCTCTCCCGTTCCCGCCAGTTTCTGTTGCCCCTCGATCACATTCTGACCATTTCGCGTTCGCCATCACTTGCAAGCAACAGACGCCCAGCCATGGCTTCCGCCAATTGCACCGTCGCCGCCTCATCCCTGCACCTCTCCTGCTCCGCTCGTCAATCCGCGCTCACATCTCTCGCGTCCCCCTCGCCCTCTGCGCACCCCGCGGCCATCGCCGCCATCTCCTCCCTCGCCGCGTCTCGCCGAACCGCTTTTCTGCCCGCCCCTGCTCTCACGGCGCCGCGACAACACTGTCCTACGCGCGCCCGACGGGCTGTACGCGTTATGGCGAGTCAAAGTGAGCCCCGCATAGATCAGCCGTGCCGTTGCTCGTGATCGCACGGAAACGCATTGCTATGTTCCTAAGCGAACGTCCATCTGCTGCGCTCCCATTCGACTCGTGCGTACTATCGACATCGCCACTCCACCGCGCATTACGGCACAAAAGCGATCGCTTTTCGCACGATCTCTCGCGATCGACTCTCTCACGATCATTCCGCGCCTCCCGTGCTGCCTCCGCATCGCCCCTGCCTTTCCCTCCGCGCCCTCCCGTGCAGGCGAAAAGCGCGCGCTCATTTCTGTCTCCGATAAGACGGGACTCGATACGCTCGCCAAGGGGCTGCTGGATCTCGGGTACGCACGAAGCATGGCGAAACCGCCTCTTGGTGCGGCGAGGTTCAGGGCTTTTCGCGAACGCGCATGCAAATTCGTGCACGTTCGCTTGTCGCTTCCACGCCCCCTCCACATCCGCTCCCCTTCACGTCAGCATTCGTCCGCTCTCCTTCCTGTTGACTTCCGCATCCCCCCTCTCCCCTCCCCTCCCCTTCCCCACGGCGATCCGCCGGCTGCGAACGTTCCTGGCAGCTTCACGCTGGTGTCGACGGGCGGCACGGCGAAAGCTATTGAGGAGGCGGGGCTGCCCGTGACTACGGTGGATCAGATCACCAACTTTCCTGAAATGGTAGGCATGCCAAATATGGCACTCCCGCGTCGATCCAAATGTGGGCCTTGCCAACGGAGTAAAGAGGCATCATTGCGTTTTCTCCAATGCGGCAACTTTCAGGGTTCTCACGACAGCCATCCCTCCCCTCCCGCTCCTCCACTCGCCTCCCGCGCTCGTTGCTCGAACCACGCCACCACACCACTACCACCGCTCACTCCCCTTCACCGATCACCATCCATCCCACTTCTGTCCTCCCTCCTGTCCGCCCCCTGTCGCCCTCTCACTCGCTGCGTGCGCGCCACGTGTCCTCGTCTGCCAGCTGGACGGGCGAGTGAAGACGCTGCACCCGGCGGTGCACGGAGGCATTCTGGCTCGGCGCGGCCTGCCCGCGCACATGGACGCACTTGCTGCCCACAACATCGGTGCGCCCACCCGCCTCTCCCCACCGCTTGTCCCCCCTACCCTCTACCTTGATCTCCCGCACTGCACCATGCCATGCCATGCCATGACATGCCTCTCCCACCCCCAACTCCTTCCCCCACTCCCTTTCCCCTCCCCACCAGGCGCCGTTGACGTAATGGCTGTGAACCTGTACTCGTTTGCGCCTCTCATCCCAGGTGCCCTCCCCTCTCCCCCCCTCTCGCTCTCCCCCCCTTTCCACCCCACCCCAGGCCCCATGGACGTGGTTTCAGTGAACCTGTACCCCTTCGTGGTCCTCATATGCCCCCTTCGCGGCCCTCATATGCCCCCTTCGCGGCCCTCATATGCCCCCTTCGCGGCCCTCATATGCCCCCTACGCTTCTCACCTGTCTTCCTGTTCCCCCTCCCTCCTCTCCCTCCCCCACCAGGCCCCATAGACGTGGTGGCGGTGAATCTATACCCGTTTGTGGCGACGGTGACGGCGCAGGGCGGTGCGTCCCTAGAGAAGGGCATTGAGAACATCGACATTGGCGGACCCACCATGATCCGCGCCGCTGCTAAGGTGGGGGAAGGGGTTGGGGTGTACGGGAGTGGGGGGAGCGGGAGGGTAAGGCTAAAGGGATGTTGAGGAGGAATGCAGGAAGTCGTGTAACACCTTCACACACTCACTTATTCGCCTTCTACCCCATGTGCTCATCCCCATCCCCACCCCCCCATTCAGAACCACGAGAACGTGTGGGTGGTGGTGGACCCCGCTGACTATGCGTCGCTGCTGGCCGCGCTCAAAGAGGGCAAGGGCAAGGACGAGGGCGAGAGTGAGGAGGCGTTGAGGAGGCGCCTGGCGTGGAAGGCGTTTCAACACACGGCGTCGTACGATGCTGCCGTGTCCGAGTGGCTGTGGCCGCATGCACAGCCCAAGACGGATGGTGCGTGGGGGAGCAATGGGCGCATAGGGCACACTCTTGCTCGTTCCCATGCATGTAGGCCCGTACACACGTGCTGTGGACTGCACACACACACATGCACGCACACCCCTGGCCATGTATGGAATCAGCTGCACACACCACCATGCCTCACACATGCACACCCTTCACCCTCCGCTCATCTGTCCCCCCCCCTCCCCTGCCCGCTGCAGAGTTCGCCCCGCCACCGGCCCTGGCTGTGCCACTCTCCCTGTCAGCCGTGCTGCGCTACGGCGAGAACCCCCACCAGCGCGCCGCCTTCTATGCCGATGACTCTCTGGGGGAGCGCGGCAAGGGCGGCATTGGCACCGCCGTGCAGCACCATGGCAAGGTGCGTGGAAAGTGGGGGGAGGTGGTGGAGTGGGATGCTTGAGGCAGCGACATGTACACATGTGGGTGGCATTGGCACCGTTGTGCTGCACCATGGCAAGGTGGGGGGAACGGGTAGGGGAGGTGGGCGGGAGGGTGCGTGGCGCAGTGTGGACTCTTCATACTGGAGATGGACGGCCTGGGGGAGTGCGAATGGAAGGAGAGATATTAGGGAGGAGTCTCTTGTTATGCCCTGCAACTGTCACTCACGCACACAGAACTGTACGCTGCACCCCCTGCTGCCCTTCATGACCCATCCGTCGTCTCTCAACCACCACCCACCCTCCACCCCCTTCTTCCCCCTCTTCCAGGAGATGTCATACAACAACTATCTGGACGCGGACGCGGCCTGGCAGTGCGTGTGGGAGATGCCCACAGCAGCCTGCGTGGTCGTCAAGCACACCAACCCCTGCGGCGCCGCCACCGTCACCCTCCCCCCCTCCGCCTCCCCGGAAGAGCAAGAAGCAGCCCTCCTCGAGGCCTACCGTGCCGCAGTCCGCGCCGACCCCGTGAGCGCATTCGGTGGCATCGTGGCCTTCAACCGCCCGGTAACCGCCGCCCTCGCACGCGAGCTGAGGGAGTTTCGATCCCCCACGGACGGCGAGACGCGCATGTTCTACGAGATTGTGGTGGCTCCAGGCTACACGGAGGAGGGCCTGGCGGTGCTGAAGGGGAAGAGCAAGGCGCTGCGCATCCTGCAGGCGCAGGCGAGCAGCACGGGCAGGCGGTCGCTGCGGCAGGTGGGGGGCGGGTGGCTGCTGCAGGACTCGGATGACGTTGATGCTGATGACCTCACGCTCACTGTGGTCACCAAGAAGCAGCCCAGTGAAGCAGACCTGGAGAATGCACGGTTTGCGTGGCGGGTGGTGAAGCATGTGAAGAGCAACGCCATCACCATCGCCAAGGTATGCCTGCCCTCGTCCCCTACCCTCTTCCCTGTTCTCACCTTCGGCTCTCACCCGCTTGCCCTCGCCTCGCTGCTTGCCCTCACTTCCTTCTTTGCCGTACTGCACGTTCATCTCTCCACCCTCTCAGCAGCTTCTTCATTAACTCACAAGCCTTCCTGCCATCCTTCCTTGCCCTGCTCTCTACTCGCCTCTTTTCCTTTCCAGGACGGGCGGCTGCTGGGCATGGGGAGCGGGCAGCCCAACAGGGTGAAGAGTGGGCAGATCGCGTTGGAGAAGGCAGGCGACGAGGCCAAGGGCGCTGCTGTCGCCAGCGATGCCTTCTTCCCCTTCGGTCAGTGCCACCACGCCCGCTGGGGTGATACAGATCTCTGCCTGCCCGACTTTCTTTCTTCTCGTTCTTGTTTCCCTAAAGCAACTGTTTAGCTTCATATAAGCACTCCCCCTCATGTACCTTTTCCCTCCCCTTCCGTTCCCCCCATCACTCCACCACTGCTGCCCATCTACCAGCGTGGGGAGATGCAGTGGAGGCGGCGTGTGAGGCAGGTGTGTCGGTGATAATCCAGCCAGGCGGCAGTGTGAGGGATCAGGATGCCATCGACTGCTGTGACAAGTACGGTGTGGCCATGGTCTTCACCAACGTGCGCCACTTCCGCCACTAGCGCCCATTCAACCCCACCACCACTGCCCGCACTTTTGCACGTGTGGTGGCTGGATTCAAGAAACAGCTGAATGAGGTGCAAGCACGGCGAGGGCTTGACGGAACTCTTGGCAGAGGGAAGGCTGTGTGGCGCGTGTGCTAGATGGTAGATTCTTGTGACCACACGCTCATATATTGTGGAAGGCTGCCTGTCTGCTGGTTGGACAGCTTTCCAGTGTGCTTGTCTATGTCCCAAGGGAGAATTGTGCTTACACAAGTATTGTAAGCTTGTTGCAAATACATAAGATAAGAAACCTCAGCGAAGGAGCTGATTAGAGCTGTGGTAGCTGTGCCTGCTTGACCTGAGCGATCAAAATTGTTAGAATGAAGTGGAATATAAGCTGTACTTTATGAACTTCTCGTAGCAATACAAATGGCATTGGGTCTTGAGGCTGTGACGGCTGTATGTCGGGCGTCGAGTGGTGCAGGGCAGAGCAGCGGCAGAGCAGGGGCAGTGTATGGTGCAGGTGGGTTACACGTCGAGGTCGAGCAGCATCTCGCCGACCTTGACGGTCTGCCCCTCCTTCACGTAGATGCCGCGGATCACCCCCGCCTCCTCCGCTCTAATCACATTACGCATCTTCATCGCCTCGATTGTCACCAGCTCGTCCCCGGGCAGCACCTGCCACCCACAACCACGTGCAGTGCAGTGCAGTGCAGTGCGGGCGCAGCACAACAAGGCATGTGTTAGAGGTAGCGGGCGGTGGGTGGGGTATAGCCATGGTGGGTGGGGTATAGCCATGGTGGGTGGGGTATAGCCATGGTGGGTGGGGTATAGCCATGGTGGGTGGGGTATAGCCATGGTGGGTGGGGTATAGCCATGGTGGGTGGGGTATAGCCATGGTGGGTGGGGTATAGCCATGGTGGGGTATAGCCATGATGGGGTATAGCCATGGTGGGGTATAGCCATGGTGGGTGGACAAGAGGCGGCAGTGGCATGAGCATGAAGGATGGAATCTTAAGTGAAGTTGAGAAGTGTGACATGGGTGGTAGAGCGGGGGTGGCAGGGGGCTGTGCTCACCTTCTGCTTGTAGCGCACGGAGATCTTGACGACAGAGCCCGGCATGGGCGTGCGGATGAGCTGCACGCACAGAGGAGCCCACACCAAGGATGGGGTGAGATTCGGTCACCAGTGATGTGATGAGTGAGGAGGGCACTGAAGCGAGGAGGTGAAAAAGAGTCGGTTGATGCAGGCAAGCAAGGAGGGAACAGGTGAGAGGCAAGAGTGGGCAGTGGGGAGGGGATGGGGCCTCACATGGGCGACGTCGTCGGTCTTCTTCTTGGGCATGAACTTCTGCAGCGGTGCTAAGTCCGCTCTCTGCACCAACACCTCGTCCTGCTCGTATGCCACCCAGGGGAGCGAGAGGGGAGCGACGCACGGACAGGCGCGAGGGGAGAGTGTGAGGCAAGGAAGAGTGTGTGGGAGGTGGTCCAAGGGAGGAAGGAAAGAGGGCAGTTTTGCAAGGGACGCTCGAAGGATGGAATGGTGAGGGAAGGGTTGGGAGAACAGGAGCAGCCTGTTACCTTGATGCTGCCGTGGTAGAGCATGGAGAAGCCACGTGGCAGCTCCTGGCGGATGCACACACTGGTGTCCTTGCCGTCCAGACTCATGTGGATGAGCCCCTTGCCGCTCAGGATGGGGTCCCGCTCCTCCACCTCCATCACCTCCCCCGCCACGTCCACCTTCTGCCAACCCCCGTGCGCCCCACCACAGGTACATACACAAACAGCAGATTGTTGCCCCAACACACCCCATGCGGCCCCCACCCACACCCAATGTGCCCCACCACAGGGAAAAGCAGGAACAGCGACTGTTAGTGCAGGATGATAAGGAACGATTGGAATGTTACAACCCACATACGAGCTGCAGAATGCACATGCAAGCAGCACTACACACACACACACGAACCACCTCGCAACTCAACCAAGACTCCCACGCGACAATCCCTATCCCAGTTCAACTGAGCGGCAATCACAGGCAGACATGCGCGGGCGAGGGCGAGAGAGAGCAGCAGCAGCACTCACGGCGCGGCGCAGAACGGGGTGCTTGTCGGAGGGCCAGTGCGTGAGAGTGACGGGCACCTGCTGGCCATCCACGGACACCACCAGCTTCTCCGTGACTGCCTTCTGTGACAGCGTTGCCGCCGCCGCTGCTGCCGTGGCGTCCGCTGCGGGGCGGTCCGAGGTGACGGTGGCAGAGGCACGCACGCCCTTGATCACGTGCAGGAAGGCTGATATGCCCGCCAGCTCGCTCTGTGGGGACGAGGCAGTGGGGGCGGGTAAGGTGGGAGGGTGAGAGTGGCAGTGGGAGTGGGGAGGGGAGGTGGGGGGAAGGTGGATAGGAGAGGGGTTGAGATGGCAAAGCAAGGATAAGGAGAGGTGGTGAGTGCGCGATTTGAGGATGATACGGCAGAAGGTGATGAGGAAACGTTGGTGTGAGTGAGACTGGCAGATCCACTGCCGTCCACGCAGGCATGGCGTGGCATGGTGGGGCATGGCGTGGCATTGAGTGGGCGCACCTCTTCACGGGGGGAGAGGTGGTCGTTGTAGAAGCCAGCAGGGAAGTTATCCTGAATGAAATTGGTCGTTATGTTGCCCGATGCAAATGCCTGCGGGAACGGGGAGTACGAGGAGGGAGGAGAAGATGATTCACCTCCCACTCGTTTGTGTGATTCAACAGATAGTGCGACTTGCGACAGACAGACGTGGGTGTTGTGTTGCTGGGGTGAAGTGGGGTGAAGTGGCGTTGAGCGGCAGCAACACTGGCCTACGATGGCCTACGATGCAGAATTGCATTCTCGTTCCCACTGGGCACAGGTGTGCCGTGCTGGCATGCGGTGTGGCATGAAGGGCAGTGGCCAAAGGAAGAGAGGGGCAAGGGCAGCGTGTGAAGGGCCAGGGCGGGCACTGACCGGGTGGGAGACGATGCAGCGCAGGAAGGGGATGTTGCTCTCTATGCCCTCGATGTAGTACCGGTCCAGGGCGAACTGCCATGGGTGGGATGCGGTGGGGTGCGGTGGAATGGGACGTGTTGGCAGGGGTGAGTGTATTGCCATGGTGGAGGCAGGGGAGAGGTAGCAAGTGGAAAGGCCGAGTCAAAGGAAGAGGGGAAGGCAGGAGCACAAGGGCCAGGAGAAGAGGGGGCAGAGCAGTGCAAAGCAAGCCAAGGTGAGGGAGAGCAGGGCACGTGTGGGCAGGGCACGTGTGGGCGGGGCACTGACCTCCATCTTGTCAATGGCCGCATCTCGTGTGGGCGCCCACGTGGTCACCTGCCACACCGTCGCACAGCAGCACAGCGTGTAGAGGAATTGCATGAGATCAAGGGTGGTAGTCGCAGTGAGCTTGCATGGGATTGGTTGGTATTTGCAAGGGTTTTGGATGGGAGGTGTTGGTAGTTGGAGGTACTCTGGAAGGGGGTGGTATTAGAAGGTACCTTGGACATGAGGGGGTGGTAGTAGAAGTTGATGACGTCACCCTCAGACACACCCGAGTCGATGCGCAAAATGCCCTCGTTTGAGCACTGCATGGCGGGCTCAATGTACCGTAGGATCTTGCCACTCGACCTGCATCAACGGCCAGCAATGGCGTCAGGGAGAAAAAATGGTGTGTGGAGAGAAGCAGCTGATAGGAATGCAGAGCAGTGGGACGGGAGGGCTAATGGGCGCTGGCAAGCAGGGATGGCGCCATGAGGAAAAGGTTGCACATGATGCAGCAGGCGCATGGGCATGGGCATGGGCATGGGCATGGGCACGGGCATGGGCACGGGCATGGGCATGGGAACATGGGCACGGGCATAATCAGGGGCATGGGGCGACAAGAGCCATACGGCAAAGAGAGGGGGGGCGAGCGTACGGGAGGAAGTTTTTGCAGGGGTTGTCGCTGTAGATGCGGGCACCGATGGCCCACCCTTTGGGCTCGGCTATGCAGTTTACTGAGACGATTATCGAGGCGCCTCACAAAGCGAGGAGGGGTTGGACGTACGGGAGGAAGTTTTTGCGCGGGTTGTCGCTGTAGATGCGGGCACCGATGGCCCAGCCCTTGGGCTCGGCTATGCGGTCCTGCGGCACGGCGAGCTTCTGCCCCGCTGCTGCTCGCAGCATGAGCTCCACTATGTCCACTCCCGTCACACACTCCGACGCCACGTGCCCCGCCTGCAGGAGCAGGGGGGAGAGGGGAAACGGGTTGGGAGTGGGAGAGGAGGAAGACTCAAGAGTGCCCCGCTGCTGCTCGCAGCATGAGCTCAACTATGTCCACGCCCGTCACACACTCCGATGCCACGTGCCCCGCCTGCCAGGGATGGGAAGGGGGATGGGGGAAAAGGGGGGAAGAGTTGGGGGGAAGGGGACTCAAGGGGAGGGAGGGGGGGGGGGGGGGGGGGGGGGGGGGTGTGAGTGGGGGTTTCCCCTACAAGTCTTCCACTTTTTGCTTCTGTTTGTCTGCTGTGGAGGTTCGGCTGTGCATTTGTGGTGTACGCAGCACACTGTTGGTGATTCGTTGGGTTGTCTCTTGGTACATGCATGACGGTGCGTGAGTGGAGAAAAATGGAGATGAAGTCAGGTGATGGGGGAAGGCAGGGCTTGCTCACATGCAGGCGAGTGCTCATGCCTCGGAAGTAGATGTCCTTGCTCTGACTCAGTAGGAACTCCACCGTGCCTGCCACCCACGCATGCACACACAAACGCACGCACACACGCACGCACGCACGCACGCACGCACGCACGCACGCACGCACGCACGCCCGCACGCACGCACGTCCGCACGCACGCACGTCCGCACGCACACCCGCACACCCGCACACCCGCACACCCACACACACACACACACACACACACACACACACACCAGTGCACGCACTATGCACGTGAATGAGGAAATGGAAGCACGCAAAGCAAGTCACATGCAGTATGGTCCGGTCCATACACTCACGCCCTCCCTGGTGCCCCCACCCACACTTGAAACACATATGCACACCTTCATGGGTTTATTGATCTGTGCTCAGAGTACAGGGGTGTGGGCGGGCACACTGACCGGTGGTGTCGTAGTTGATGGAGCGTGCCAGCGCCACGGACTGCTCCACCAGCGCCTTGCGCGTGGCGGCGTCCACAAACGTGCTCGGTGACTCGTCTATCAGCTGCTCCCCGCCCCACAGTCGGTGGCGGGTGGGTGGACGGGGAGGGGGGAGTGGGGGAACCGGGGGGGGGAGAGGGTTGGGGAAGTGGGGGGTGAGGAGGAGATAACGATGGCAACACGAACGTGGCGGACTCTGCCTAGAGGAACAATGAAGACACCAAAAGGCAAACCGGAGAAGGGCCGATGGGGAGGTGAACAAGGGAATGAGGCGGAGAGGAAGGACGGGAGAGAGGACGGGCAGGCGCGCGTACCTTTTGGTAGCGCCTCTGGATGGACGCCTCTCGCTCCGGGAACCACAGCTGCCATGCGCCAACACGATGGAGTGTGGAGGTGCATGGGGCACAGGGAGGGAGGAGAAGGCACGGATGGTTCCATTAAGACATGTTATGAAGGAGAGTGGGGGGTGTATGCGTTGTGCAGTGAAGGAAACGAGGGGAGAGGGCGTGTAGTGCGACACACTGCACGCACCATGCCGCCATGCTTGTCGGCCACGATCTGAATCTCAATCAGCCGCGCCTTCTCCAGGTAGCTGCCATCATCAACGGGCATGGACGGGCATGGGGAGAGGGCATGGCGTGAGGTAAGGCGGCAGCAGGTCAGCCTGGAAACGCCCTCGTCTGGAAAGCGCGACTCTACATGCTCGTCCAATGGCCGTCATGGCTTTCGCTTGACATTCAGGCCAGCATGCCGTGCAAGGTCATCGCACCCCCATCACACCCCCATCCCCACCGCGCAGCTCCTCTATATTCTCGTGCAGACAGCATATTCGCCCTCCCCTTCACCAACCATTCTTTTCCCCGCTTCCCAGGCTGCCGTGAGCGCTCACTGTTCGACGACGACTTGGCTGTGCGCGCCAGGCGAGACGAACGACAGGTCCTGCTGGAACTGGTCGTAGTGGTCCCGCACCTCACGCGCGTTCCTGCTCGGTCAACAGGGTCAACGTGGGTCAGGGAGCAGAGCAATGCGGTGTGAGAAAGGCAGCAGTTGCAGCAGGAGGCAGCAGAGAGTGCTGTGCTAGAAATGTGGACGCAGAGAAGCGGCGCTGTAGGAACAATGAAGATTGAGAGATGCGAGCTTACGAGGCAATGCGCAGCACGTGGGACTGGTTGCGGTCGAGGGACTTGAGCACCACTGGGAACCCCACCTTGTTGGCTGTCAGGCACGGGGGTGGCGCGCAGTGGGGGGGTTGGCGGGCAATGGGGGTGGCGGGTACAGTGCAGCGTGGAGGCACGGCAGCAGAAGGATTCACCACGTGGCATGAGGCGTCATAATCAGTGACTCCGTTCAGGATGTCAGAAGAGTGCATGAATGGGTTGAAAGGGCTGAAGGGGAGGGAGGGTAATGGGGGGGAGGGCGAGGGGGCGAGAGGGCGCACCGAGTTGGACGGCGTGGTCCTCGTCGGAGGCGACGGCATCCCCGATGGGCAGCACCTGCAGCCCCGCCGCCACCGCCGCGTGCTTGCTCGCCGTCTGCGCGGGGCGGGGGAGAGAGGGGCAAGCATGGCGCACAGGGGTTGACCATTCCAGGCCCGCGAGTGCACGCGAGGGAGAGGCTCTCATTAAGGCATTGCGCAGCGTGCGAGTGTGCTGCGCACACGCGGAGGGCGAGTGTTACCTCGACCCGTACGCTTGATAGGCCGCGATGTGGATCCTGACCTTGTCATACGACATGTGACCCTACCTCCGTCTGTGTGCGATATGACGTAGTGTGGCGCTCACCTTGTCCTTCATGAGGCGCATGACTTCAGGCGTGGGGCCCACGAACGTGACGCCCTGCGCCTTGAGCTTCTCCGCGAACTCGGGCTTCTCCGACAGAAAGCTGTACCCCGGATGCACCTGCGCGCGCCCGCGTCGCGGTGCAGCAGGGGAGAGAGAAAATGCAGATAAGAATCCGGTTACACCACATATCTGAAAGAAAACTCCTCTCTCTGTAGAGTGTGTGCATTACGAGGCTACTGCAATTCCATGGCACATCCACGGCTACGTCGGATGATAACCGCTGCGCAGCGCATTGGAACTGGTTCGACGATACAATCTGACAGCAGCGCGGCGGTGACGGCGGCACTCACGGCGTCGGCGCCGGCCTTGATGACAGCGTCCATGACTCGCTCCACGTTGCGGTAGCTCTCGTTCGCCGGCGACGGTCCCTGCACGCCGCACACGCCACGCAACACGGGAACGAGGGATGCAAATGGTGAAGATGACGCATGCTAGCGACAGCACTCGAGAGACGAGGCTGGTGAATGCGGGGAGCGGATGCAGGACTGGATGGACAATCCGTTTCGGCGGACCATCGGCAGATACTACGCAATACTGAATAATCGACACATCTGAAATGTCTGAATTCTCTGGTCGTGAGATGTACGAGCGACGAGAGACGAGAGACGAGGGACGAGGGAGGAGGGGCGGGGACGAGGGACGAGAGGCAAGGGAAGAGGGACGCACGACGTGCACGGCCTCGTCGGCGAGGCGGACGTGGGGAGCCTCGATGTCGGTGTCGGAGTAGACGGCGACGGTGGGGATGCCCAGCTTCTTCGCCGTGCGCAGTATGCGACACGCGATCTCGCCGCGATTCGCCACCAATAGCTTGTTGAACAGCTGCCGCGTGAAACGGAGAGAAGGGAGTGGGACAAAGAGAAAGAGAGTCGCACGGAGCATTCTTGAAGGTATGATTAGAAAATGCTATACTGAAGATATCGCAATTGCTGATCCCTCGCCATCGGTGCGGCGTTTCGGGTGGGGGTGCTGTGCACAACGGACCTTATCTTCTGAGCTGTCTGAGGAGAACGGCCGGTGGATCTGGCTGAGGTAAGGGACGACTTTGGGGCTCAAGTATAGCGCAACGCGCGCATTGTCGCGATGCAGTGATGAACGCGACGACGGCGATCTAGTTGCGGTCGTCGCAAGCCTCGTAGCACAGAATCTCCACATCTTTACGAAGGAATGGCTGGTCAATATATGAAGTGGCCCGCAATCAGAAGCAAATCAAGTATTGCCTGTACGCCAGGAATTAATCGATTGACAGGGCAATGGCTCCGTCTTAGAACTGATTAATCACCGAAGTAGCCGGTAATGTCGATGGTACTGCCGCTGCCGAAAGAAGCAACGCCAGAGAAGGCCTGTAGTACGAGACACAAACTAGTCTTCTTGCCTTCTCTGAGTCAATGGTATCTCCTGTTTGTGTCTGGTGTACTCGAGAGCTCCTATTTCCCTCTCTGGCTTTCTTGCCTCGGAAGGGCAGGTATGGTTGGGTGAGGTGATGCTGTGAACAGTCTGCTACCTCAAGTCCATCTGGTTACCATTATGCAAAACCGACCTTCATTCGAGCGATGAGCAGCGACAGCTGCGACCAGCGCTCGACTCTAAACGAATGTGACCTTCTTCGCGAACCACTAACTTCCTTCTTCGCGACGGAAAGACTCCCAGGGAATTGTTTGATTTTCTTGTAGGCTGTGGCGTGGCACGGATTTGCGTGTGGCACGGGATGACCTGGCGGAATCTCTCTAATCATAGGAGGCTGTACCCGGAAATCTTGGACGAAGCAGAATCTTCCGTCGGGTGGAGGGAATGGAGTGTTCTGTTGTAAAACTGCCCATTCGAACCAGCTCTATCCCATATCCTGAATGGCATGCTGCTATATGTCCTTTTACAATGAATGTCATTTCCCCATCCTCCGCGTTGATATCACTACCTCTACCAATATCTCATCCGATTCAACTTGATGGACTAACGGACCTAAAAGAAGAATTTATATGACAATTGTGAGAAAAATGGTTCCTAAAAGAAGGTCGAATTCTCCTAAATGTTACGGGTGCAATGAATCGAAGTAGCGAGAATTGCACTAAGGTGTCAAACGAGTACAAAATGTGAGCGAAGGCATGAGCGAACATTTATACATGAAACATGCAAACGGTAACGCGGTGCGTGCGAGCTAGCTAGTGCTATGCTCGCAGCGAGGTTCAGGCTAGTCCTGAAGCGTAGGCCGACACGGCCGGGCCAGCAGTGCGAGGTTTGGCAAAACAGTGCGCGCGAAGTTGGCGAAGCCCCGTTAGCAGTAACGGGCGAACAATGGCTGTTGCTGTACGCGATGTAGCCGGACTCCATAAGGAATGCCGAGAAAATTCCTAAATACCCCCCCCCCCCCTTTCAAGAAGCCCCCTCCGCTACGCGAGTGCGTGTATATCGTGAAATCCCCGGCTCCTCAGGTACACTTGCAGGGCAGGGTGGTTTTCGATGTTGGTAAGGGGCACCTAGCTATCTTCAGTTGGCGTGCGGTCCTTCCAGCAAACAAGGAATTCAATCCTCCTGATTCCCGTGGGGTGGCGAATCCGATGGCTCAGAATTTTTTCGGGCTCGATGATCGGCTTCGATGCAGGGTGAGTCATGGACTACGGGCGGTGACGAGGCAATTGGCTGGTGGTTGGGATGTATGGGCGAAGTAGGCTGACGTGGAACGAAGGGCTGATGTACCAGTCGGTCGGTAACAGTAGGTGTGCGGTTACCGGCGTGGTCATGTGGCTGATTGGAATGGGCCACAGTAGCGCGGTCGAAGTTTCGCTACGTCGGGCAGTCGCAGATTTTGCGTGTCGAGCAGTACGTAATCCCCTGACTGGTACGTGACTGGGCGGCGGTGGCGATCAGCATTGCGCTTAGCGATGACGCTTGCTTTTTTAATTGCTTCTGCGGCTCTGGTGCGGGCAGCTTGCAGATTTTCGGCGAATTGTTGTGCACGTGGTGTTGGGTTGTCCGGGCTCGGCGTCATGGGCACTTTAGGGTTTTGACCGTAGTTCAGGTAGAAGGGGGACTGCTGCGTCGTCGCTGACTTGGCATTGTTGTACGCGAACTCGATCAGCGGCAGCTGCTGCTCCCAAGTGGTCGGGTCGTCGCACGTGGCACGAATCAACTGCTCCGTCGTCTAATTCGTCCGCTCCTTTTGACCGTCGGTCTCGGGGTGGTACGACAAGCAGAACTGTAGCCGTGTTCCGAACTGCTCCCAGAGGTTCTTCCAGAAGTTGCTGGTGAACTTCGTGCCCCTCTCGCTGATAATCGCTGTTGGTATCCCGTGCAGGCGAACAACGGCTGCGATGAACAGGCGAACGGTCTCCTCGGCTGAGATCGACTTTTTGCATGTAGCGAAGTGTGCCATCTTCGTCAACCTGTCAACGACGACCATCACCGCGTCGTTACCCCCAGGGTTCGAAGGTAACCCTGTGACGAAGTTCATGGTAACCTGCTGCCAGGCGCGCTCGGGTGGTGGTATCGGCTGCAGTTGACCCGCCTTCCGCTTCCTCGAGCTCTTCATCACCTGACACGTGGGACACGAGCCCACATGCTGCTGCACGTCGGTCAACAGCTCCGGCCAGTAGTAATACCGCTCTAGTTGCTGTCGCGTTTTTTCTACCCCAAAATGTCCCGAGGTAATTCCGTCGTGTGCTTCCTGCAGTAACAGCTCCCTCAGTAGTGAGTACGCGGGTACCCAGATGCGGTTTGTGCCTCTTTTTACGTAATAAACTCCTTTAGCTTCTGCCAGTTGCTATGAACTTCCGGTCGTGAAAAATGGGTCGGTGCGCTATCCGTAGGTGAATAGGCCTGTTAAAAGTGGGTTGGTCTCGGCAAGTAGGATGGCATGGAGTTGGTCGGTAGGGCGGGTGAGTGCGTCGGCGATGTTGGATGTGCCTTTTTTGTACGTAACCGTGTAGTGGAAGTTGGACTCGAGGTAGTCCAACCAGCGAATTTGTCGCGGATTGAGATTTGGTTGGGCGCGCATGTACTGTAGTGATCGGTGGTCTGTCCGTACCGTCACGTCGGCGCCAGCCAGGTAACACCGCCAAACCTTGAACGCGTGCACGATCGCCAACATTTCGCGGTCGTGTATCGGGTTGTTGCGTTCGGGCGGGTGCAGCTTGCGGGACTCGTACGCGATTGGCTGGAGGCCGTTCCCGAAGTCCTGCAACAGTACTGCTCCCACAGCGATGTCACTTGCGTCGGTGACGAGCTCGAACGGACGCTGCGGATCTGCGATGTGAAGTACGGGCGGTGAGCACAAAATGTTTTTGAGGGCCGAGAAGGCAGCTTGCTCTTTCTGCCCCCATGTGTACTCAACCCCCTTCCTCAGCAGGTCGGTCAGCGGGGCAATCAGCTTCGCCATGTCGGGGACAAACCAGCGCACGTAGTTGACGAACCCCAGAAAACTCTGCAACTCAGTCAAGTTGGTCGGCGCGTGCCATGCTTGAATCGTCGCAATTTTTTTCGGGTCTATTTCCACTCCTGCAGCTGAAATAATGTGTCCCAAAAACTCCAGGCGGTCCTGTAGAAACTCACACTTAGACGCTTTTGTCAGTAGGCGGTTCTCATTCAGTATCTTAAAAAGTGCTTTGATGTCCTGTAAGTGCTGTGCTCTGTCAAGGCTGTAGATCAGTATGTCGTCCAGGTATACGATGACAAACTTATCTAAAAGCGGGTGGAAAGCTTTGTTCATGGTCATTTGAAAAGTGGCAGGGGCGTTGGTCAGTCCGAAGGGCATGACGGTGTATTCGAAGGATCCGTAGCGTGTGCGAAATGCGGTCTTAGGGCAGTCGGGTGGATTGACGCGAATCTGGTGGTAACCCCCTCGGAGGTCGATTTTCGAGAAAACCCGGGCTATGCGCAGTTGATCGATCAGTTCGTCGGCTCGCGGGATGGGGTAACGGGATTTGATGGTACCCCGCTCAGTGCTCTGTAATCTATGCACATGCGAAATCCCCCGTCTTTTTTCGGTGTGAACAGTATCGGTGCTGCGAAGGGTGATGAACAAGGGCGAATGAACTCCTTCTCGAGCAAGTAATCCAGCTGCTTCCTCAGTTCGTCCAGTTCGGGCTGGGTCAGTCGGAACGGTCGCTATATTGTCGGTTGTGCCCCCGGTTCTAGCTCTATTCTGTGGTTGTGTGGTCGCTGAGGTGGCAGCCCCGTTGGCAGGTCATCTGGAAATATCTCACTGTACCGCTTCAGGAGTGCTGCCAAGTCATCCGGTACGTCGGCAAACAGTTTCTGTAAATCCCCTCCCTGGTCTGCTGCTTCGGCTTCCCGAATGTCAACCGCATACACAACAGCTCCTGCCGCTACGGCGCGCTTCATTGTGATCGCGTTGACACGCACCGACGAAGACTCAGGCGAGCCCCAGCGAGGTAAGGCGATGTTGTTACCGTTCACTCGCACGGTGCAGTCACCCGTCGTCCTGTCGATTCATGGATTGTGTCGTCGCAACCAATCCCGGCCGAGTAAAATGTCGGTTCCGTCGAGGCTCGTCGCGAGCATTTCCTGGCTAAACGTGAAGTTACCCCCGCATCGAATCCGAACCCGGTCTACGCGTTCCCGTATCGCCAGTGGCGTGCCGTCTACCAGTCTTGCGTCGATCTCAGGTAAACATCTGTCCAGTGGCAGTCGCAGTTTTCGTGCCGTGGCAGTGTTGATGAGGCTGTGGCTGGCTCCCCCGTCTACGAAGATTTTAACTAAATCTGTCCCAATTTTCCCTCTAAGCAGTATGGGGCTGTCTACCGTAGTACCCTCCTTATTCGGCCGGGTGTGGTCGATTGCGTGAACCGGCACAATCACTCAGTGAGGGTCGGTTGGGTCGGGCGAGCGGCGTGACCTGTCAGTAGAGGGTCTGTCTGCTACTAACT